CCCCCCCCCCCCCAAACTATTTCCAATACTTAGTTCCAGTTTTTGGTAGTGGTACGGGGATCCTTTAAATAAATCATCAGAATCTCACAGGTACAAGTTTGCAATCCGTCAGTTTGTCCATTAGTCAGTGTGTGTATCAATTTGTCCAGGGCATATCTTCTATACTAAAAACTAGGCTACAATTGCCAAATTTTGTATGCGAGTACCTTTTAGGATGGCGAAGTGTCAAATAATATATACAGAGTTATGGCCCTTTTTCATCATGTTTCACTTCGTTCAGGGCATATCTTAAATACACAGTCACCGACAGTTGTCAAATTTTGTAAACAATTAGGAGGCGAAATGTCATGTACTGAAACAAGATTGTATTTTCCACTACATGTGTAAGAGTTTATTTTTTATAACGATAGTTTCCTAGAGATGGAGTACCCTGGTACTTTTAATTACTGGAAACACTTTGCCTCTTTTGAAAGAAAAAAAAAATCATTGTGTTTTACCTTAGCATGCTGCTCCTAAAAATGAAAACAGATATGGGTTACCCAAAATTAAAATAACATTAGAAATAACTGCTTACTATAGTCATGACTGTCAGAGTTTTTGGTAATTAATTACCAGCAGATCAATTTGTCACTTGTACCTAATGTTTTGTTAGATTATCACATGAAGTGTCTTTGTTTTTTAGCCAAAATCACAGAGTACCTCTTGGAAAAATCAAGAGTCATATCACAAGCAAGGTAAGTCATTGACGACGTCAAAATGAGCTTCCTTTTACTCCACTTCACTTGAGGATAACTCAACAAATAGTCCTTAGTTCTAAAACTCGATGGGCTCCAAGCCTGAACTCACTAGCTTCAGACGAACACTAGGGTTCAGTGGCTCCAAGCCTGAACTCGGTAGCTTCAGACAAACACTAGGATTCGGTGGCTCCAAGCCTGAACTCACTAGCTTCAGACGATCACTAGGGTTCGGTGTCTCCAAGCCTGAACTCAGTAGCTTCAGACAAACACTAGGATTCGGTGTCTCCAAGCCTGAACTCAGTAGCTTCAGACGAACACTAGGATTCAGTGGCTCCAAGCCTGAACTCACCAGCTTCAGACGAACACTAGGGTTCGATGTCTCCAAGCCTGAACTCACCAGCTTCAGATGAAAACTAGGGAACGATGGGCTCCAAGCCTGGGACTCTGTGGCTACAGCCCTAAACTCAGTGGCTACAGTCCTAAACTTGGTGGCTACAGTCCTATAATGTTCACGGCTTCGTGCCCAAGATAGAGTCAACGGCCCCTTGCCTGTAACTCAGTGGCTCCATGCCTGGGACTCTGAGGCTCCAGCCCTAACCTCGGTGGCTACAGGCCTATAATGTTCAAGGCTCCGTGCCCAAGATAGAGTCAACGGCCCCTTACCTGTAACTCCATGGCTTAATGCCTGGAACTCTGTGGCTACAGCCATAAACTCGGTGGCTACAGCCCTAAACAGGGTGGCTCCAGCCCTAAACTCGGTGGCTACAGGCCTATAATGTCTTAACTTGATATGGGTCAGGCTGTCATTCTTGTGGCCCCATGTCTAAACTTGATATGGGTCAGGCTGTCATTCTTGTGGCCCCATGTCTGAACTTGATATGGTTCAGGCTGTCATTCTTGTGGCCCCATGTCTAAACTTGATATGGGTCAGGCTGTCATTCTAGCGGCCCCATGTCTAAACTTGATATGGGTCAGGCTGTCATTCTTGTGGCCCCATGCTTAGGATTAGATTTGGAGGCTCTATGCCTAGACAAGTCTCAAAGAAGTCTTTAATACTGTATGCTGGGGAACTTTCCCCAGTCAGTTGTCACCCTTCACAGTAAGAATTCATTGTGGCGTGGTGCTGGTTTTGCCATTCACATATTATTACTATGTATACAATGTAGTATGTAGTGTATTTATTTTCACTGTCATGATAAATTCACGAATAAAGGTGAAAGTTTCACTGTGGCAAAAATTCCCCTATAGCTGACTATTTCCAAATTTAATATATTTGTTTAACATTGTCGATCTTTTTCATATTAGGTAAAAGTTTGAATTCATGCTGGTAAATGTACTATGATTGAATTTACAAACATTTAACTGGCACATAGTTCACTCCTTTTTATTTATTTATTTTTGTCACATGGATAAATGTGTTTCTCTTTTAATTTTTACAGGGGTGAACAGAACTTCCATATATTCTACTACATACATGACGGTCTGAGTTCAGAAGAAAAGAAAACTCAGTTCCTCCTCAAAGAGAATGTTCCCTACAGGTAATGAAGGCCTGCTTACACAGCTGTTATGATACAACACAGGATGTTGTAACAAATGTTGTATAATAAAAGATATAACGAAAGGTTGAAAAACAAACCTTCTGCAGGTAACAATCTATTTTACAGCGGACATACATTGTTATTGATGGGTGAGCCATATAGAACGGTGCTGGTTATATGGGGTGGTCTTAACGGACAGGTGCTTTTTATATAGAGGTGGTCTAAATGGACAGGTGTATGTTAAATAGAGGTGTTTTTAAGTACAGGTGTTTGTTATATAGAGGTGGTCTTAATGGACAGGTGGTTGTTATATAGAGGGGGTTTTAATTGACAAATGCTTGTTATATAGAGGTGGTCTTAATGGAAAGGTGTTTGTTATATATAGGTGGTCTTAATAGACAGGTGTATGTTAAATAGAGGTGTTTTAAAGAACATGTGTTTGTTATATAGATGTGGTTTTTATGGGCAGGTGGTTGTTATATAGAGGTGGTTTTAATTGACAGATGCTTGTTATGTAGAGGTGGTCTTAATGTACAAGTGGTTGTTATATAGAGGTGAACTTAATGGGCAGGTGATTGTTTTAGAGAGGTGGTCTTAATGGAAAGGTGTTTGTTATATAGAGGTGGTCTTAATGAACAGGTGTATGTGAAATAGAGGTGTTTTAAAGAACAGGTGTTTGTTATATAGATGTGGTTTTTATGGGCAGGTGGTTGTTATATAGAGGTGGTTTTAATTGACAGATGCTTATGTAGAGGTGGTCTTAATGGACAGGTGTATGTTAAATAGAGGTGTTTTAAAGAACAGGTGTTTGTTAAATAGATGTGGTTTTTATGGGCAGGTGGTTGTTATATAGAGGTGGTTTTAGCTGACATGCTTGTTATGTAGAGGTGGTCTTAATGTACAGGTGGTTGTTATATAGAGGTGGTCTTAATGGAAAGGTGTTTGTTATATAGAGGTGGTCTTAATGGACAGGTGTATGTTAAATAGAGGTGTTTTTAAGGACATGTGTTTGTTATATAGAGATGGTTTTTATGGGCAGGTGGTTGTTATATAGAGGTGGTTTTAGCTGACATGCTTGTTATGTAGAGGTGGTCTTAATGTACAGGTGGTTGTTATATAGAGGTGGACTTAATGGGCAGGTGATTGTTATATAGAGGTTGTCTTAATGGAAAGGTGTTTGTTATATAGAGGTGGTCTAAATGGACAGGTGTATGTTAAATAGAGGTGTTTTTAAGGACATGTGTTTGTTATATAGAGATGGTTTTTATGGCCAGGTGGTTATGTAGAGGTGGTTTTAATTGACAGATGCTTGTTATGTAGAGGTGGTCTTAATGGACTGGTGGTTGTTATATAGCGGTGGTCTTAATGGATAGGTGATTGTTATATAGAGGTGGTCTTAATGGTTATGTGTTTGTTATATAGGGGTGGTCTTTATGGACAGGTGGTTGTTATATAGAGGTTGTCTAAATGGACAGATGTTTGTTATATAGAGGTGGTCTTTATGGATATGTGTTTGTTATATAGAGGTGGTCTTTATGGACAGATGTTTGTTGTTTGAGTGGTTTATATATAGACTGGTGTTTGTTGTACAGGTAGACTCCATAGACTGACATGTTATATATGTGGTCTTTATATACAGATGTGTGCTATATAGAGATGCTCTTCATAGACAGCTGTTTGTAATATATTTGGTCTTTATAGACAGGTGTGTTTTATATAGATGACAATATCAACTAAAATAGTTATAATACCTTTGTTTCTATTTGTCACAGGTACATTGAGGAATATACCAGTGGTGGGATAGACATTGCTGCCATGGCCATTAACAGGGTCAAGTTCAAGGCCATCCAACATTGCTTTGATATCATTGGTTTCAAACCTAAGGTAGGTCAAGGTCACTCCTCACTGCTATAAAACCAATACTTGTTAATGTAAGGTAGGTCAAGGTCATTCCTCACTGCTATAAAACCAATACTTGTTAATGTAAGGTAGGTCAAGGTGACTCCTCACTGCTATAAAACCGATACTTGTTTATGTAAGGTAGGTCAAGGTCACTCCGCACTGCTATTAAACCGATACTTGTTAATGTAAGGTAGGTCAAGGCCATCCTAACTGCTATAAAACCGATACTTATAAACGTTAGGTAGGTCGGACAGATGAAATGTGACTTAAGGCAGTATGTGACATTACCAGGTGGCTGGATGGTGAGATGGACATGCACTCACCTTTTTACCAAAAAACCTGGACTTAATTCCTTGTCATGTGGGCTTTCCCTGCGTGTGCTGATTTCCTGCCACATTCAGTTCCTCAGATTTAAATCAAAGTCAACAGGAGCCATTGATATAAGTTGATATTATGCCATTATGCCATATTTTCAATTTCATCTTCACATGTTTTTGTAAACTTTGACAGGAGGTGTCCTCTGTCTGTGGAATCATTGCCTCCATTTTAAATTTGGGAAACGTTAACTTTGACGAGAAGGAGACGGGTCATGGAGGAAATGCTTGTAGCATCACAAGTAGGCCGCTTGTCGAGGCAGGTGGGTGTGGTCAAATGTTACGGTTAGCTAAGAGTGGTGATGTTTTACATTCATCCCTCATCCCCATTCTCACCATCCTTTCCCCATCCCTATTTTCCCTCCTATCCCCATCCCAATTCTCCCTCCTATCCCCATCCCTATTCTCCCTCCTATCCCCATCCCCATTCTCCCTTCTATCTCATTCCCCATTCTCCCTCCTATTTCCATCCCTATTCTCCCTCCTATCTCCATCCCCATTCTCCCTTCTATCCCATTCCTCATTCTCCCTCCTATCCCTATCCCTATTCTCCCTCCTATCCATATCCCCATTCTCCCTTCTATCCCATTCCCCATTCTCCCTCCTATCTCAATCCCTATTCTCCCTCCTTTCCCTATCCCCATTCTCCCCCTCCTATCCCCTCCCTTATTTTCCCACCTGTCCCCATCCCCATTTTCCCTCCTACCCCCATCCCCAATCTCCCCCTCCTATCCCCATCCCCATTCTCCCTCCTATCCCCATCCCCATTCTCCCTTCTATCTCATTCCCCATTCTCCCTCCTATTTCCATCCCTATTCTCCCTCCTATCTCCATCCCCATTCTCCCTTCTATCCCNTGTTGTTTTACATTCCATTCTCCCTCCTATCCCCATCCCTATTCTCCCTCCTATCCATATCCCCATTCTCCCTCCTATTCCCATCCCCATTCTCCGACCTATCCTCGACCCCATTCTCCCTCCTATCCCAATCCCCATTCTCCTTCCTATCCCCATCCCCTTTCTCCCTCCTTTCCCCATCCCCATTCTTCCTCCTATCCCCATCACCATTCTCCCTCCTATCCCCATTCTCTCTCCTATCCCCATCCTCATTCTCCCTCCTACCCCCATCCCCATTCTCCCTCCTATCCCCATCCCCATTCTCTGTCCTATCCCCATCCCCATTCTCCCTCCTATCCCCATCCCCAGTCTCTGTCCTATCCCCATCCCCATCCTCCCTCCTATCCCCATCCCCTTTCTCCCTCCTATCCCCAGCCCCATTCTCCCTCCTATCCCCATCACCATTTTCCTTCCTATCCCCATCCCCTTTCTCCCTCCTTTCCCCATCCCCATTCTTCCTCCTATCCCCATCCCCATTCTCCGTCCTATCCCCATCCCCATTCTCCCTTCTATCCCCACCACCATTCTCCTTCCTATCCCTATCCCCATTCTCCCTCCTACCCCCATCCCCTTTCCCTGTCCTTTCCCCATCCCCTTTCTCCCTCCTATCCCCAGCCCCATTCTCCCTCCTATCCCCATTCTCCTTCCTATCCCTATCCCCATTCTCCCTCCTACCCCCATCCCCATTCTCCCTCCTATTGTTGTTTTACATTCCATTCTCCCTCCTATCCCCATCACCATTCTCATTCCTATCCCCATCCCCTTTCTCCCTCCCATCCCCATCCCCCTTCTCCCTCCTATCCCCATCCCCTTTCTGCCTCCTTTCTCCATCCCCATTCTCCCTCCTATCCCCATTCTCCTTCCTATCCCTATCCCCATTCTCCCTCCTACCCCCATCCCCTTTCCCTGTCCTTTCCCCATCCCCTTTCTCCCTCCTTTCCCCATCCCCATTCTTCCTCCTATCCCCATCACCATTCTCCTTCCTACCCCCATCCCCATTCTCCTTCCTATCCCCATCCCCTTTCTCCCTCCCATCCCCATCCCCATTCTCCCTCCTATCTTCATCCCCATTCTCCCTCCTATCCCCATCTCCATTCTCCTTCCTATCCCCATCCCCATTCTCCCTCCTATCCCCACCCCCATCCGCCCTCCTACCCCCATCTATCCTCGACCCCATTCTCCCTCCTACCCCCTTCCCCATTCTCCCTCCTCTCCCCTTCCCCATTCTTCCTCCTATCACCTCCTCATTCTACCTCCTATCCCCATCCCCATACTCCCTTCTACCTCATTCCCCATTCTCCCTCCTACCCCCCTCCCCCTTCTCCTTCCTACCCCCATCCTCATTCTCCCTCCCATCCCCATCCCCGTTCTCCCTCCTATCTTCATCCCCATTTTCCCTCTTATCCCCATCTCCATTCTCCGCCGTATCCCCATCCCCATTCCCCCTCCCATCCCCATCCCCATTCGCCCTCCTATCCCTATCCCTATTCTCCCTCCTATCTCTATCCCCATTCTCCCTTCTATCCCATTCCCCATGCTCCCTCCTATCCCCATGCCCTTTCTCCCTCCTATCCCTATCCCCATTATCCCTCCTATCCCCATCTCCATTCTCCGCCGTATCCCCATCCCCATTCGCCCTCCTATCCCCATCCCCATTCTCCCTCCTATCCCCATCCCCATTCGCCCTCCTACCCCCATCCCCATTCTCCCTCCTATCCCTATCCCCATTCTCCCTCCTATCCCCATCCCCATTCTCTGTCTTACCCCCATCCCCATTATCTCTCCTATCCCCTTGCTCCCTCCTATCCCCTTGCTCCCTCCTTTCCCCTTCCTCCTCCACTTCTTCCTCCACTTCCTCCCCTCCACTGTTCCCACCAACAGAGAAGAAATGATCAGGAAGTCTATAATTGGTCCTTTTGTTAACAGTGTCCTCGACATTAGGAATTCCTAATGTGGAGTTAGTGGAAGCTCTTACAACGACAGGCATGGTTGCCCGTGGAGAACTCATCGTGCGGGGAAACTCTGTCCCGGAGGCGCTGGACGCCCGGGACGCCATGGCTAAGGCGCTTTACGGGCGCTTGTTCAGCTGGATTGTCAACCATATCAACATCCTACTTAAACCTCAGACATTTGTTGCAAAAAAGTAAGTACAGGAAAAGAATATTGTTTTGAGAATTCTTATCTTGAATGAGAAACGAGACTGTTATTGAGAAACTGAATAAATTGAGTAATGTGGGATATTGGGTTAGTTTGTTAGGCAGGTGTAATGTGAGATGTTGGGTTAGTGTGTTTAAGCCAGGTGTAATGTGAGATATTGGGAGTAGTGTGTTAGACAGGTGTAATGTGAGATGTTGGGTTAGTGTGTTAGCTAGGTGTAATGTGAGATATTGGGTTAGTATGTTAGCCAGGTGTAATGTGAGATATTGGGGGTAGTGTGTTAGCCAGGTGTAATGTGAGATATTGGGGGTAGTGTGTTAGACAGGTGTAATGTGAGATGTTGGGTTAGTGTGTAAGTCAGGTGTACTGTGAGATATTGGAGTTAGTGTGTTAGTCAGGTGTAATGTGAGATATTGGGGGTAGTGTGTTGGACAGGTGTAATGTGAGATATTGGGGGGAGTGTGTTAGTCAGGTGTAATGTGAGATATTTGGGGTAGTGTGTTAGTCAGGTGTAATGTGAGATATTGGGGGTAGTGTGTTAGCCAGGTGTAATGTGGGATATTGGGGGTAGTGTGTTGGACAGGTGTAATGTGAGATATTGGGGGGAGTGTGTTAGTCAGATGTAATGTGAGATATTTGGGGTAGTGTGTAAGTCAGGTGTAATGTGAGATATTGGAGTTAGTGTGTTAGTCAGGTGTATGTGAGATATTGGGGGTAGTGTGTTGGACAGGTGTAATGTGAGATATTGGGGGTAGTGTGTTGGACAGGTGTAATGTAAGATGTTCGAGTTAGTGTGTTAGTCAGGTGTAATGTGAGATATTGGAGTTAGTGTGTTAGTCAGGTGTAATGTGAAATATTGGGGGTAGTGTGTTAGCCAGGTGTAATGTGAGATATTGGAGTTAGTTTGTTAGGTAGGTGTAATGTGTTGTAATCTGATTCTCACTGGTTGTGGTCGATAGGGAGGAGGAAAACCACATTATCGGAATCCTGGACATTTTCGGTTTTGAGCACATTCCCAACAACTCGTTTGAGCAGCTGTGTATCAACATTGCGAATGAGCAGATCCAATACTACTTCAACCAACACATCTTCGCCTGGGAAATGGTACGTAGGATTGATGAACTTCTACAGTGTTGCTGTAGGCCCGCATCCTTCCACCAAAATAAATTTCCTACATATTAAACAACCACGTTAATTAAAGGGGGAAAGGTCACGCTTCATGTTCGTATGACATGAGTTTCATTTCATTCACATGAAAGAAATTAAATCACTTTTAAAAACAAACCTAAAAGGCAACAATAGGCACTACATTCATGTACAATGAACCGCTCTCTGCACCCCTGGAATATGTTGTAGCAACATCGACGGTTCTGTGCGCTACTTTGTGTATGAGATGAGACGACTAGTTTAACACTTTGATGTACATCAAAAGAATCTCGCAGTCGCATAACGGTAACATTGACTGGCTTTGTAGTCAGGTGTAGCTCCTTTGTAATCTTCAAAGGACAGGTATCAGCCTAGCGATTGGTCAGGTGTTTTTTTAGCTCACCTGCCCATAGGGGAAATGAGCTTATGCCAAACTTTTTTAAGGTGCAGCATTCGTCTTCCGTCCGTCCGTCCATCAACTTTTCCTTTAAAACGCTCCTGTCCGGACTTTCCTTTAAAACGCTACTGTCCGGAACGGCCCATAAGATTTTAACTAAATTTGGTCAGGAGCATCCTCAGGCGAAGGGGACTCAATTTTGTATAAACCGGTGTGAATGAGTTAACAGGATAGGTTATTCTGACAAGTGGTCAGGATGCATGGTCCTAAAATGAAAATGTTTTCGAGGTGTTGAGCTGATTTTAAACAACCTAATATTTTACAAATCTGGTAATGCTAAATATTTAATAATAAAACAATACCAATATCAGTTGTAATTACAAAAGCAGGACTGTCACAGGCCTTGAAAAGCCCTAAAATGTATAGAAAGACCCTAAAACCCCTAAAATTTAACAAAAGAAGTCCTGAAAGAATTAAAGTGAGACTTGACTTTGAGTAAATGAACATTGCACTATGTATATTTTTGTATTTTTTATTTTGGTGTTATTTTGATTAAAAGTAAATACTGCTGACCAGTGTTAGATTTAAATGTGGCTTGGTGTTTATATGGTTCAGATACATCCAGGTTACAGATTAAGATTGATCTGTGTATTTTGAAAATTTGCAGATGGCAGGAGAATATAGGCCTTCATTTTACTGAAAAAGGGCCTAAATAACTCCTTGAATTTCAAATTAGTAAAATCCCTGTATGGATGCTGAAAATGCTACCTAGATATAGTTTGGTTATGGAAGTTAATATTAGTGGGTAGGGGTGGAGTTGTTACTATATATCAGGCAATTTTTGCCTCAGTTTCATTTTCGCCTAGTAAAGATATTTTACTCTGCTAATGTTCCAGTCTACTCAGCTGTAAATGAGTACGTGGTTGGGCAGTGATAGAAATGTTGAATGCTAGCTGTGAGCGCCGAAATGGCAGCACCAGCTGTATGCTCCCCAGGGAATTGAGAAAGATATTGGCTGGTTGCAAAGGCCCTATAACCACAGATAATAATTTGTGAACCACTTTGAGATGACCTATGAACTAGTTTGTGATAAAGCAGAATATAAGAACCTGGAAATATCATTAATATTATTAATAAAGTGTGACTGGGTGAAAATTTCCTGGTATACAGTATTTATGAGTCCCTACTTACTGTCCTGTTGCGACTTACACAGCAAGAATACCAGAATGAGGGCCTTGAAGTGTTGGACATTACTTTTGTGGACAATCGACCACTGTTGGACATGTTCCTCATGAAGCCCCTTGGACTGTTGGCCTTGCTAGACGAGGAAAGCCACTTCCCCAAGGCCACAGACAAATCACTTGTGGGTAAGTTAGATTACAGGAGTTCATACCACTTCCCCAAGGCCACGTTCAAATCACTCGTGGGTAAGTTAGATTACAGGAGTTCATACCACTTCCCTAAGGCCACAGACAAATCACTCGTGGGTAAGTTTGATTACAGGAGTTCATACCACTTCCCCAAGGCCACAGACAAATCACTCGTAAGTAAGTTAGATTACAGGAGGTCATACCACTTCCCCAAGGCCACAGACAAATCACTCGTGGGTAAGTTTGATTACAGGAGTTCATACCCCTTCCCCAAGGCCACAGACAAATCACTCATGCGTAAGTTTGATTACAGGAGGTCATACCGCTTCCCCAAGGCCACAGACAAATCACTCGTGCGTAAGTTTGATTACAGGAGTTCATACCACTTCCCCAAGGCCACAGACAGATCACTCATGCGTAAGTTTGATTACAGGAGGTCATACCGCTTCCCCAAGGCCACAGACAAATCACTCGTGCGTAAGTTTGATTACAGGAGTTCATACCACTTCCCCAAGGCCACAGACAAATCACTCATGCGTAAGTTTGATTACAGGAGGTCATACCACTTCCCCAAGGCCACAGACAAATCACTCGTGCGTAAGTTTGATTACAGGAGTTCATACCACTTCCCCAAGGCCACAGACAAATCACTCATGCGTAAGTTAGATAACAGGAGTTCATACCACTTCCCCAAGGCCACAGACAAATCATTCGTCAGTAAGTTTGATTACAGGAGTTCATACCACTTCCCCAAGGCCACAGACAAATCACTCATGCGTAAGTTGGATAACAGGAGTTCATACCACTTCCCCAAGGCCACAGACAAATCACTCGTAGGTAAGTTTGATTACAGGAGTTCATACCACCTCCCCAAGGCCACAGACAAATCATTTGTCAGTAAGTTTGATTACAGGAGTTCATACCACTTCCCCAAGGTCACAGACAAATCACTCGTAGGTAAGTTTGATTACAGGAGTTCATACCACTTCCCCAAGGTCACAGACAAATCACTCGTAGGTAAGTTTGATTACAGTAGTTCATACCACCTCCCCAAGGCCACAGACAAATCATTTGTCAGGAAGTTTGATTACAGGAGTTCATACCACTTCCCCAAGGTCACAGACAAATCACTCGTAGGTAAGTTTGATTACAGGAGTTCATACCACTTCACCAAGGCCACAGACAAATTACTCGTGGGTAAGTTAGATTACAGGAGTTCATACCACTTCCCCAAGGCCACAGACAAATCACTCGTAGGTAAGTTTGATTACAGGAGTTCATACCACTTCCCCAAGGCCACGGACAAATCACTCGTGGGTAAGTTAGATTACAGGAGTTTATACCACTTCCCCATGGCCACGGACAAATTACTCGTGGGTAAGTTTGATTACAGGAGTTCATACCACTTCCCCAAGGCCACAGACAAATTACTCGTGGGTAAGTTAGATTACAGGAGTTTATACCACTTCCCCAAAGCCACGGACAAATCACTCGTCGGTAAGTTAGATTACAGGAGTTCATACCACTTTACACATGTTGGGGCTTTCTTCATAGATTTAAATGAAGGTACTGACAAACTGTTGTATGGCCAAATTTCCTTGATCTTGCCATCAATCATTTAATTCAACATTCCTGATTTAAACCTTAGGATTGAGGAATAGGAAATGATGTAATTTTCATGGAAGTATTATGACAGATGTAAAATCTTGATGCTATTTTTTTTTTTTATGCATAAAAGCAAAATTCACTTTTTTCCACAACAGTTAGCTTTAAATAGTCTTGAAACAACTGGTTTCCTGGGCACTGGTTTAGGAAGGTTTTGGAGTTGATAGGTAAATAAACTCTCACCCTGCTGGATTTAAATATTTTGTGTAGCACTGGTTTTAATATGCTTTGAGAGTAAATAGTTAAATAACCTTTCACTCCTGTAGATTTAAATACTTGGTGTAGTACTGGTTTAGGAGGTTCTAGGGTTGATAGGTAAATAACTTTTCACCCCTGTAGATTTAAATATTTTGTGTAGCACTGGTTTTAATATGCTTTGAGAGTGAATAGTTAAATAACCTTTCACCCCTGTAGATTTAAATATTTGGTGTAGTACTGGTTTAGGAAGGTTCCATAGTTGATTGGTAAATAACCTTTCACCCCTGTAGATTTAAATGTTTGGTGTAGCACTGGTTTAGGAGGTTCTAGGGTTGATAGGTAAATAACCTTTCACCTCTGTAGATTTAAATATTTGATTCTATGTTATGTTGTCAGTGTTATTTTCTCCCTTCCAGAAAAGTTCCATAGAAACATAAACAACAAATACTACTGCCGTCCCAAAGGCAATTCCCTTGTGTTCAGCATCGACCACTACGCAGGCCGGGTAAGTACTGGTGACCCTGTAAAACCACCTGATTTTACTAATCATTCAAATTGTATGACATTTTAACCCCAGAATTACCACCAGTTTACAGCACCCGTATATATTGAATATTGAACAGCCTTGACTTCTTGACTGAAATATAAATGGTTGTCTGCAAGGAATGACCACCTGTCTGAAATAACATTAACCAAGAAATTCATGTACAAGACAACTAGACTGATAACAAAAATCTACATTATATCTAAACTGACAACTAGTCTGGAATGGCAACCTGTTCAGACAGACTGGCAGAATCTTAATTGACAACTCTTTTAGATCAACATTCTGGCTATAAACTGACAACCAGTCTATACAACAAACAACAAGTCTTAAGAATAACAAACAGTCTGGAGAATGACAACTTATCTAGAGAATTAAACTTATTTAGAGAATGACAACTTATCTAGTGAATAACAACCAGTCTTAAGAATGACAACCTGTCTGTACAATGACAACCTGTCTATACAATGACAACCTGTCTATACAATGCCAACCTGTCTATACAATGACATCCTGTCTATACAATGACAACCTGTTTATACAATGACAACCTGTCTATACAGTGACAACCTGTCTATACAATGAAAACCTGTTTATACAATGACAACCTGTCTAGAGATTGACAACCTGTCTATACAATGACGACCTGTCTATACAATGACAACTTGTCGATACAATGACAACCTGTCTATACAATGACAACTTGTCTATACAATGACAACCTGTCTATACAATGACAACTTATCTAGTGAATGACAACCTGTCTGGAGTATGACAACCTGTCTGGAGATTGACAACCTGTCTATACAATGACAACCTGTCTAGAGATTGACAACCTGTCTATACAATGACACCCAGTCTATACAATGACAACTTGTCTATACAATGACAACCTGTCTGGAAAATGACAACCTGTCTGGAGATTGAGAACCTGTCTATACAATGACACCCAGTCTATACAATGACAAACTGTCTATACAATGACAACCTCTCTATACAATGACAACCAGTCGATACAATGACAACCTCTCTATACAATGACAACCAGTCGATACAATGACAACCTCTCTATACAATGACAACCAGTCGATACAATGACAACCTCTCTATACAATGACAACCAGTCTATGCAATGACAACCTGTCTGGAGAATGACAACTTATCTAGTGAATCAAAACCTGTCTGGAGAATGACAATCTGTCTGGAGAATGACAACCAGTCTATACAATGACAACCTGTCTATACAATGACAACTTATCTAGTGAATGAAAACCTGTCTGGAGAATGACAACCTGTCTGGAGAATGACAACCTGTCTATACAATGACAACCTGTCTATACAATGACAACCAGTCTATACAATGACAATACAATGACAACCAGTCAACTTATCTAGTGAATGACAATCTGTCTGGAGAATGACAACCTGTCTGGAGAATGACAACCTGTCTATACAATGACAACCAGTCTATACAATCACAACCTGTCTATACAAAGACAACCAGTCTATACAATGACAACTTATCTAGTGAATGACAACCAGTCTATACAATGACAACTTGTCTATACAATGACAACTTGTCTATACAATGACAACTTATCTAGTGAATGACAACCTGTCTGGAGAATGACAACCTGTCTGGAGAATGACACCCTGTCTATACAATGACAACCAGTCTATACAATGACAACCTGTCTATACAATGACAACCTGTCTATAAAATGACAACTTATCTAGAGAATGACAACCAGTCTATACAATGACAACCTGTCAAGAGAATGACAACCTGTCTATACAATGAGAACCTGTCTGGAGAATGACAAATTATCTAGAGAATGACAACTTGTCTAGTGAATGACAACCAGTCTATACAATGACAACCAGTCTATACAATGATATCCTGTCTATACAATGAGAACCTGTCTATAGAATGACAACCAGTCTATACAATGATAACCTGTCTATACAATGACACCCTGTCTATACAATGACAACCTGTCTAGAGAATGACAACTTATCTAGAGAATGACAACTTATCTAATGAATGACAACCAGTCTATACAATGACAACTTATCTAGTGAATGACAACCAGTCTATACAATGATAACCTGTCTATACAATGACAACCTGTCTGGAGAATGACAACTTATCTAGAGAATGACAACTTATCTAGTGAATGACAACCAGTCTATACAATGACAAATTATCTAGTGAATGATAACCAGTCTATACAATGACAACCTGTCTGGAGAATGACAACCAGTCTATAGAATGACAACCTGTCTATACAATGACAACCTGTCTGGAGAATGACAACCTGTCAAGAGAATGACAACCTGTCTATACAATGACAACCTGTCTAGAGAATGACAACCAGTCTATACAATGACAACCTGTCTAGAGAATGACAACTTATCTAGAGAATGACAACCTGTCTATACAATGACAACTTATCTAATGAATGACAACCAGTCTGGAGAATGACAACATGTCTAGAGAATGACAACTTATCTAGAGAATGACAACCAGTCTATACAATGACAACCAGTCTATACAATGACAACTAGTCTTGGGAATTCATATTTCCTGAACATCATTTTACAGTTTTATTGATGGATATTTAACATGCGTAAGAATATTATTTCATTGCAAAATTTAGATATATTTTATAGTTTTAAGTCAATTTTAGATTCTTTAGGAGATTTTTTTTTTTTTACAGTACTAAATTATATTTTCCATGCAAAGTTAATTTTGGCAGCAGTGATATTGTCACTGGCCACACAGAGGTTTTCATGTGGTGTCTTGGAAGAGTGCTTTAGTTTTAAAGAAACCTTGTAAAATAAAAATAAGTATCAGCTAGAATTTTTGCACCTGAATTGTCTGAACAGAAATTCTTGTCAATCCATTGATTTGCCACTGAGAAGTTTAGTGAAGTGCTTCTGGAACATTAACTATCAATAGGGTTGAATTGCTTAAAAACAAACCATCATCTGAGTCTGATGTAGAACTCCATTGACTTTACCAACAAATACTACCTGTTTTACAAGTGTTTCATTCTCTTTCCAAAGGTGGAATATGATGCAAATGGCTTCCTAGAAAAGAATCGTGATCGTCTTCCAGGTGATGTTCTAAATATGCTTCGTGCTTCCAGTAACGAGGTTGTTCGGGCTCTTTTCCAAACTCCTCTCACCAAAACGGGTAAGTGTAAACATTTACACCTAAAACCTCTTTCTGATCACCCCTCCCTTTCTATTTCCACCCTCAGACAGATCACCTCTCCCTCTCTGTCTCCACCCTCAGACGGATCACCCCTCCCTCTCTATCACCACCCTCAGACGGATCACCCCTCCCTCTCTATCTCCACCCTCAGACAAATCACCCCTCCCTCTCTATCTCCACCCTCAGACGGATCACCCCTCCCTCTCTATCACCACCCTCAGACGGATCACCCCTCCCTCTCTATCTCCACCCTCAGACAAATCACCCCTCCCTCTCTATCTCCACCCTCAGACGGATCACCCCTCCCTCTCTATCACCACCCTCAGACAGATCACCCCTCCCTCTCTATCACCACCCTCAGACGGATCACCCCTCCCTCTCTATCTCCACCCTCAGACAGATCACCCCTCCCTCTCTATCTCCACCCTCAGACAGATCACCCCTCCCTCTCTATCTCCACCCTCAGACAGATCACCCCTCCCTCTCTATCTCCACCCTCAGACAGATCACCCCTCCCTCTCTATCTCCACCCTCAGACAGATCACCCCTCCCTCTCTATCTCCACCCTCAGACAGATCACCCCTCCCTCTCTATCTCCACCCTCAGACAGATCACCCCTCCCTCTCTATCTCCACCCTCAGACAGATCACCCCTCCCTCTCTATCTCCACCCTCAGACAGATCACCCCTCCCTCTCTATCTCCACCCTCAGACAGATCACCCCTCCCTCTCTATCTCCACCCTCAGACAGATCACCCCTCCCTCTCTATCTCCACCCTCAGACAGATCACCCCTCCCTCTCTATCTCCACCCTCAGACAGATCACCCCTCCCTCTCTATCTCCACCCTCAGACAGATCACCCCTCCCTCTCTATCTCCACCCTCAGACAGATCACCCCTCCCTCTCTATCTCCACCCTCAGACAGATCACCCCTCCCTCTCTATCTCCACCCTCAGACAGATCACCCCTCCCTCTCTATCTCCACCCTCAGACAGATCACCCCTCCCTCTCTATCTCCACCCTCAGACAGATCACCCCTCCCTCTCTATCTCCACCCTCAGACAGATCACCCCTCCCTCTCTGTCTCCACCCTCAGACAAAAATCCCTCTCTATCTCCACCCTCAGACAGATCACCTCTCCCTCTCTATGTCCACCCTCAGAAAGATCACCTCTCCCTCTCTATGTCCACCCTCAGACAGATCACCTCTCCCTTTCTATCTCCACCTGTTGTACAAATTTTAAATCCAACAAATCTGTTCCAATAATAAATTATTGAACCATGATATTTTTTCTTCATGAAATTACAGCTTGAGATAGCCACAACAATGTTTTCCAATCTTTGAAATAGAGCTGTCATAGGAATTTGTACATGTTATCTTTTACAAAAACCTTGATTGACCTCGTCAAGCCTATTTTGACCTTCCCTTAATTTGTTTATCTGACCTTGTCTGTTTGACCTTTGCTCACAGGTAACCTTGCATCGGGCAGTATAGCATCTTCCTTGAGGAGCACGCCCAGCTCCAGTGCCATCAGCTCCCCAGCCAGTACAAGCTCCTATGTGAGTGTGATGAGCTACAACAAACACCAACAGACCTCCGGAATGGGAGGCAGTCGGGTAGGTAGAACAGCTGTTGTCCTGGCAACATAAAGTAATTGTTATTGACGAAAATATTATGTCTAATAAAAATCTCAAATTAGGTTATAGGTCAGATAAGAGAGAAATTTGTATTAGTATTGTTGTTTGATTTTTTTATTAAAATCTAATTGACCTAATGCTAAGCTGGTTGACATACATGGTAACGTAGGTAAAACGAGATACAAAAGTGACATCGGAATTTAGTTATTGTTTTTGTCAGAACAAATCTGTCTTCTTTCTTCCTGATTGTCAATGATATTATGATCTACAACACGGATTGAGCAGAAAAATTATTGATTATTCCTGACAAAATATACGTAAACCTATGACACACAGTGTGCTTAATTCTATTAAATTCATACACATATACAGTTAATCTCATTTCTAGTGTCCCTTCCCATTTCTACTTCTCCATCTTCCACTACCCCTGTCTCCATCACTTACTCTTCCACTCCAACCCCCACCCCTACAACCCCACCCATTCACTCCTAATTTTCCCATGCCCAATTTGTCTTCCACAACCCTGCCCCCNTTTCACATCCCCATGCCCCATTAATTTGTCCACCACATCCTTGCCCTTCCCCCCTTCCTTCCACCCACTTACTTCTCATTTCCCACATTATCACTTCCCCATTACTCTGTCCTTCACACATCCCTGACCCCTCCCTTACTTTTCATTTCCACATGCCCCATTACTTTGGCCTCATCATCCATGCCCTTCTTCCATTCCTACTCCTCCACCTCCTCTGTCCAACACTCACACCCCAACTTCCTCTGTCCCCTATTACTGCCCATCTCCTTCCCTCCTTCCACGTCTCTGCGAACAACTCCTTTCCTTCCTTAACTTCTCCTGTCCTAGTTTATAACAACAAAAATGTATTCCTACACAAAAACACCGGTATTACACTGTATATCACTGCTGACTTTACACTGTCACTTCAAATGTAACAGACACCAGCCAAGCATCCCGTGATATGCACCGCATACATGTATAACTGAAACAATTTAACCCATTCACCCTGTAGACACATTTGAACTCCTCCAATTCAGAGGATGGAATAGTTCATTATGAAATTTAGGGGTGAATGAGTTTAATAAGCATGTTAATGAGTCACTCACTGCTTCATTTTTACTGTCACCGGTCATAATCTTACTCACTGTTTATTATAAAGATAAAAAATACTCTCAGTCACTGGAAATGGTGTTCACTTAATAAACAAAGAAAAAACAAAAGGAAAAAAAAACAATAAGAAAAGTTCTCCATGGTTAAAAATTATGTTACCTGAACAGGAAAAAAAAGAAGAAGAAAAACCAAGAAAAATATTGAAAGTAGGAAAAAAGAAAAGAAAAACCTAGTTGCATGAAATTGTGTAAGCTTAAAAGACTGAAATTATAAAGAGAAAATAAGAAAAATTAAGAAAAAATAAATCAGTATTTTTTATTTCAATTCCCTATCATACAGATTGATTATGAATACAAAAGTACATGTTAATGTGAAAAATCTCTGTTACAGATTGTATGGTCATAAAGTTTGAGTGTCCGACTTTATATATTTGCACTGCTAAATATAATTATACACTGATAATTTTGTATTTTTCACTTCCAATTTCTGTTAAAAAATCAAATATATCACTTTGTGGTTCTTCCACACATTGATTTAAATTGTTTTAATTTTAGACCTTGTATAAATACATTTGTTTTAACATGAAGATTTGACAGCACACAGCCTCTGAAGTTTGAGATATGAAATTCTAGTAATCAGACATTTTTCTGGTCTAGATCCTTAGTGAATAGGTTTTATATCTTAAAGAAAGTTTCATTTAGCTCCGTCAACATTATTTATATATATAAATTCCCATTTAAGCCATTTTGCCTCTGTGGAGTATAACGTATAGATAGAAATTAATGGTAGTTGTAATTATAATGATTTCTACATTATTATTTACTGAAGAAGATTCCCGGCTTTGAAATTTTAGTTTTAAAGCAGGTCACTGGCCACTGTTAATTAGAATAACAATTATGCAATTTTCTGTTAATATTTTGTCATCGTGCACATTGCACATTGTATATTGTATATTGTATATGCTCCTTATATCTGTATGCTGCATTGCATTCCAGATCTACAGTGCACTTGTAAGTAAAAGTATATAGGCCATGCATTTCAAACACTTCAAGGATACTGATTTGTTTTTCATTTCATCATCGTCATGGTAACATACTCATCACCTGTTATATATATTCTGCTTGAATTTGTTTGGGGCTTTGATTGTTACTTTGTTTTGTTTTCCTGTCTTGATTTTTGTTTTGCAGGGCAGGCTTATAAATATATTCTACTCTGAGGCTTTGGTTTGTGTTTGACTTTAACCCATTCACCCCTAAAGTCACATTTGAACCTTACCAAATCAAAAGCATGGCAATTCTATTTTAGTTATGTAGGGGTGAATGAGTTAATGATGTCTCGTGACTCACTACTTGATAATTAGATTTCTTGTTTTCATTTTTATGCTGAAGACCTGAAATCATTTGTATAATAGTACAATTTGTATAAGATGAGCTACATTGTATCGAGACTCTGTTGTGTATACCTATGTATTCAGAATCCTATTTAGATATAGAAATTTAACCCTGCATCATTGTTGTCGATCATATATTATCATTTATATAGTCAAAAATTCACCTTCATAATCATAAATTGATGTATTTTTTTGCTAAACTTCATATGATAGACATTTTCCCTCAGGGAAATAGAGTATACACTTATTATTCAAAAACTACACATTATACATTTTATGATATAGTCTTCTTGCTTCAAATCATTTATAACTACTAGAAAAAATGTCGTCAACAATTTGAAATTTCAAAATATTGCTATTTACATGTGAGGATGTTGTAAGTCACTTCATGTTTCATGTTTGGTCATTAGGAAAACATTTCAAGAGTTTAGATCATAGGTGTCAGCCTCTAAAACCTCAAATGAGGGAGATTTCCAAATTCCAAAAAACATTCCTTTGATTCAGACACACCTGTTATGATCATTACACACACCCTGCAGTAACTAGGAGATCATTTGACCACAGAATGTAGATTTTGAGTTTGTGTGAGTTTGGATTGAACGAGGGAGTTTCGTAATGAGGGAGCCAGGATGACAGCTATGTAAATGAGGGAGGGTTGACAACTATATCAGATATTTATTTATATTAGTGCAGTGGGACGGGGATCCTTAGGGGGAGGTTACTCTATATAGGAAACCACAGTGCAGTGGGACGTGGATCGTTAGGGGGAGGTTACTCGATATAGGAAACCACAGTGTAGTGGGAAGGGGATCGTAAGGGGGAGGGTACTCTATATAGGAAACCACAGTGCAGTGGGACGGGGGTCGTTAGGGGGAGGTTACTCTATATAGGAAACCTATTAGTGCAGTGGGACGGGGATCCTTAGGGGGAAGTTACTCTATATAGGAAACCACAGTGCAGTGGGACGTGGATCGTTAGGGGGAGGTTACTCTATATAGGAAACCACAGTGCGATGGGACGGGGATCGTTAGGGGGAGGATACTCTATATAGGAAACCACAGTGCAATGGGACGGGGGTCGTTAGGGGGAGGTTACTCTATATAGGAAACCTCAGTGCAGTGGGACGGGGATCGTTAGGGGGAGGTTACTCGATATAGGAAACCACAGTGCAGTAGGACGGGGATCGTTAGAATAAGCATTTATCAGAGAATGGAACCATCAAAAACTTGATACATACAAATATTAAATTGGCTTGGAACATTTTTATCTTAGCGAACTTCATGCTTTTGTTTCAGTTTGTGTGAAAACCACAGTGCAGTGGGACGTGGATCGTTAGGGGGAGGTTACTCGATATAGGAAACCACAGTGTAGTGGGACGGGCATCGTAAGGGGGAGGTTACTCTATATAGGAAACCACAGTGCGATGGGACGGGGATCGTTAGGGGGAGGATACTCTATATAGGAAACCACAGTGCAGTGGGACGTGGATCGTTAGGGGGAGGTTACTCGATATAGGAAACCACAGTGTAGTGGGACGGGCATCGTAAGGGGGAGGTTACTCTATATAGGAAACACCACAGAATGTAGATTTTGAGTTTGTGTGAGTTTGGATTGAACGAGGGAGTTTCGTAATGAGGGAGCCAGGATGACAGCTATGTAAGTGAGGGAGGGTTGACAACTATATCAGATATTTATTTATATTAGTGCAGTGGGACGGGGATCCTTAGGGGGAGGTTACTCTATATAGGAATCCACAGTGCAGTGGGACGGGGATCGTACGGGGGAGGTTACTCTATATAGGAAACCACAGTGCAATGGGACGGGGGTCGTTAGGGGGAGGTTACTCTATATAGGAAACCACAGTGCAGTGGGACGGGGATCGTTAGAATAAGCATTTATCAGAGAATGGAGCCATCAAAAACTTGATACATACAAATATTAAATTGGCTTGGAACATTTTTATCTTAGCGAACTTCATGCTTTTGTTTCAGTTTGTGTGAAAACCACAGTGCAGTGGGACGTGGATCGTTAGGGGGAGGTTACTCTATATAGGAAACCTCAGTGCAGTGGGACGGGGATCGTTAGGGGGAGGTTACTATATATAGGAAACCACAGTGCAGTGGGACGGGGATCGTAAGGGGGAGGTTACTCTATATAGGAAACCACAGGGCAGTGGGACGGGGATCGTTAGGGGGAGGTTACTATATATAGGAAACCACAGTGCAGTGGGACGGGGATCTTTAGGGGGAGGATACTCGATATAGGAAACCACAGTGCAGTGGGACGTGGATCGTTAGGGGGAGGTTACTCGATATAGGAAACCACAGTGTAGTGGGACGGGCATCGTAAGGGGGAGGTTACTCTATATAGGAAACACCACAGAATGTAGATTTTGAGTTTGTGTGAGTTTGGATTGAACGAGGGAGTTTCGTAATGAGGGAGCCAGGATGACAGCTATGTAAATGAGGGAGGGTTGACAACTATATCAGATATTTATTTATATTAGTGCAGTGGGACGGGGATCCTTAGGGGGAAGTTACTCTATATAGGAAACCACAGTGCAGTGGGACGGGGGTCGTTAGGGGGAGGTTACTCGATATAGGAAACCACAGTGCAATGGGACGGGGATCTTTAGGGGGAGGTTACTCGATAAAGGAAACCACAGTGCAGTGGGACGTGGATTGTTAGGGGGAGGTTACTCGATATAGGAAACCACAGTGCAGTGGGACGGGGATCGTTAGAATAAGCATTTATCAGAGAATGGAGCCATCAAAAACTTGATACATACAAATATTAAATTGGCTTGGAACATTTTTATCTTAGCGAACTTCATGCTTTTGTTTCAGTTTGTGTGAATAGTTTTAACATGTAATCAGATTTCATCATATCTTTGTTTTTTTAAATGTGGAAGTGACAGGTTTGACAGAATTGATTCCTGTTTAAATTTATTACTGATTATAGTCATGAAATAACACTTGGCTCATAGATTATTACTGAATTTCTTTTTGTCCGTTCATGATCAGAAAATGCAAGCATGATCAAACAATGTTTGTTATAAAGGGAGATCACTCCAAGAAGTTTATCATGAAGGGAGATTACTCTATGAAGTTTATCACTAAGGGAGATAATTCCATCAGTTTATTACTAAGGGAAAAAACTATGATGTTAATTACAAAGGGAGATTACTCCATGAAGTTTATCACTAAGGGAGATAACTATGATGTTTATCACAAAGGGAGATTACTCCATGAAGTTTATCACTAAGGGAGATAACTATAATGTTTATCACAAAGGGAGATTACTCCATGAAGTTTAACACTAAGGGGAATTACTCCATGAAGTTTATCGCTAAGGGAAATAACTGATGTTTATCTCAAAGGGGAATAACTCCATGAAGTTTATCTGAAAGGGAGATTACTCTGTGAAGTGTGTCGCAAACCACACTTTCCTTTATTAATTTTAATTGACATATTTTTACTAACAGCTTGAATTGTTTGTTTCTTAACTGTATAAAATGTGTTATAATTAATCCATTCAACCCTAATTTCACATTTGAACCTTACCAAATCAAAGACTGGACAAGTCCAGTTAAAAAAAGTAGGGATGAATGAGTTTATCCATTTAATTCAAGGTGATGCTTTGTCCAACTTCCTAGAATGAGGGCAATCTAGATTAACTAAAAATGTCCACCATGATTATAAGAAAATGTATTTTTCAAAGACAACCTGGTAATTGTTTCCTGTAATAATCCTCACCAAGTTCCCTTTCCTGTTTCTAAGTGAAAGTAAACATTCATTTACTTCCCTTCAGTAGACTGCAAAGAGTAAATGAAGGTGGTGATGTTGGTTGAAATAGAAGTCAAGATGAATAAGGTTTAATATAGATAATGATTTATCATTACACACATTGACCTTATAGGGCCTGTCACACCTAGACAATTTGGGTCACCAGAGCTATACCGGAGCACAAATTTAACGATATTTGGTGGTCGGTACTGGTATGGCAGGGCGGTGGTAGGACATCGCTAAGAACGGTAGTACATCATCAGAACATCAGCGAACAATTTAGCAACGGTAGGCGACGGTAACAAATTTGAACTTGCTCCAAAAATTCCGCTGTTGCGCTGCTGGAGCGAGCAACAGGACTACAACAACAGTACTAGGGTATGGCTTGGGTTATGTCAGTTATAGGAGCACCGGTAGCGCCCTGTTATGGATTGGCATCTCTCTGGTGGCCTCAGTGTGTACCGTACTGGTATCAATGTGACACCGTAGTACTACAGAATACAGTGATGCGCTGCCAATGTACTAACGACAGATAATTGGTATTTGGTAGCACTTTGGCTCTTACATCAGTTGGACAACGGTAAACAACGGTATCGCAAAGGAAACGCTGGTAGTACATCAGTATTGCTAAGGACAATTTAATTTATTTCCAAGTGCTTTCTCGCCAGAGCTCTGCCTTTTTCTCCCAACGTTGTTAATTTTTTGCTCCGGTTTAGCCCGGCGAGGTACATCGGTAGTGTGTGACAGGCTCTTAAGTCAGATGAAACTCGTTGCAGAAACACTTTTATACAATATCATTTTATAAGGATTAGAGTGGAAATTATTTTTATCTCCTTGTATCTTGTCATGGGGACGGAACAGATCTGGACTGCATTATGATAGCATCAGCAAAATAAAAAGCGTTACATTGATATTTGTAGTGAGATTCACCAGGTTTGTTTGAATGAAGGGACAGGACAGGTAAACTTATTTCCGCTCCTCTGACTGCCTGTAGTATTAAAGTGCTAACTTGATGAATTGTCTCGATATTTTTGACAGCTGAATTTACTGAATCTGCACATATTGGCTTATTGAGTTGTTTTCAGCGTTTAGAGTCAAGATACTGGTCATATACACTCTTAGCTTGACAAAGGAATCAGAAGTATTCGAAAGCTGTCAAAATAAGTTTTCAATTACTGTTTGTGTTAAAAACAAACTTAGCATTTATCATATATGTTGATGATTGGAAGGATATTGTCATTTTGTAAATTATCAGCGGATTGTAGAAAAAGTTTGTCATGAATTTTTGCAGGGGTCGGCGTCTGCCAGCATGACCAGAATTCAACAGACTGTGGCGACCTATTTCCGATTTTCTTTGATGGATCTACTGGCCAAGATGGTGGCAGGCACACCTCACTTTGTCAGGTAATAATCATAAATAATTATAATAATATACACATCTGATATAGCGCCCTGTCTAAACTAGAATAAGCCACTCTAAAGCGCTTTACAGTACATAGATATACTATTTTTACAATCACTACAATTAGCATACATTAGTCAATACAATTTAGAGGAATTCGCAGAAGCTGCCTTATCAGGCGCTAACTACTAAGTCCTATGCCACCTGGCTAATATGTCCCTATGTGTGTATGCTTGTGTGTGTGCTGGAAATGTTTTGTGTTCTGTTTGTAGTGGGACCGTGCTTCCAACGGCATCATTTATATATATAGTGCCACCTCACTTGAATAATACAGTACAGATTCAACAACATTCACCCCAGACCAAGATATACTCCACCTGGGTTGTTGGAGTTATGTGGGCAGGAGAAAAACACTTTCTCTAAATATTCCATGTGTACGAGGATTCCGCAGATCCTGGCCGCCTGCCTGCGTGAAAGGCCAGCATGTTAACCACTCAACCAATCCCCCAATAGATAGTAATAAAAGTAACACTTTGTTTTTAGAGGGTACACATCATTTAGCAGACAATAAAGGCTAATCTCCCACGAGGCCCTCTTCTAGAAGGTACACATAATTTAGCAGACAATAAAGGCTAATCTCCCACGAGGCCCTCTTCTAGAAGGTACACATACATGGATGCATATACAATGTAAATAATCAATAATCAACATGCACTCAATAATGTTCATAACAGTACAAAAGTATACGAAGATAGTTAGACAGATACTTGTGTACAATGTTTGTGACATTATACTTTGAGTTCATAAAGATTGCTGGCAGTCTTAATTTCAATAGGAAGTTGATTCCATGTTTGAGCATATTTTCATGAACGGTTGATGCTTCGTTACATTGTGAAATAATTCATTTCATTTCTTGTCCAAGTTGTTGAACAAGTTGTCAAGTTGTTGGACAATTTGTTATTCTTATACATTGTAATACTGATGTTGAATTCACACATCTATCCTCAGATGCATACGACCGAATGCCAACAAACATCCTGATGACTTTAATTCGGAGAAGGTGACGATACAGCTGCGATACACAGGTGTCCTAGAGACAACACGGATTCGTAGGGAAGGTTATTCCCATCGGATACCGTTCGCAGACTTCTTACGCAGGCAAGTCAATTCCTATTTATCACGGAGGAAATTAAGTATGACCTGATTCCATGTTTATTTTTGTTTATAGTTACATCCTGTCAGTATCTACCAAAAAATCTATAAAGAAAATGACAAAAAAGGCAGAAGAATCTTATGTTGTGGAAAGTTATATATATGCTGTTGATGTGGAATAATTCATTGTAGAATAAACCTTTTTTTAAGTTATTGGTTTGTTGAAGTTTAAGGTGTCTTTATGTAGTAGAGAAAGACTATATGGTTCACCACTGTGACAAATCTCTAGCTGAGTCAATTACAAGTGACTTGACGGTTCACCACTGTGACAAATCTCTAGCTGAGTCAGTTACAAGTGACTGGATGGTTCACCACTGTGACAAATCTCTAGCTGAGTCAGTAACAAGTGACTAGACGGTTCACCACTGTGACATACCTCTAGCTGAGTCAGTAACAAGTGACTGGATGGTTCACTACTGTGACATACCTCTAGCTGAGTCAGTAACAAGTGACTGGATGGTTCACTACTGTGACATACCTCTAGCTGAGTCAGTTACAAGTGACT